AGGGAGGGTAACTTCCTGTGTCTCATTCTCTCTGTTCATGAGTATAGGTGTTAAGATATCAAACAATGTAGCCAGAAGTCTTCCCAGGGTTCAAATGTTACCTTTTCAGTGGTTTCCCCTCACCCAGCCTCAGTCACCTTCCCACACAAATTCTCCTTCCTTTTATGCTTCTCACTGCTGCCCCAAATTTGGGGTTGGGGAGCAGACAGTGGGTTAAAGCCAAGAGTCTCTCCTGAAGCCAAGAATCTGCAATTACACGTGATCTGAGGGCTTTTGGATTTGAAAAATATGAAAATGACATATCCCTAATTTCATTTCCTGGGAGGGGAAGTAAAAACTAGAGGCTGAAAGGTGGCAGAAGAGAACCAGAATGGATAGGTTGAAAGAAGCCAGAATGCCACCCAGTCCATCTTCCCATCCAGCATATGCACCCCTCTACGTCATCCCTCAGCAATGGACAGACCGCCTCCATTTGAGCATTTTCAGGGATGAAGGGCTTATAACTTCTGGAAGCAATCAATTGAATTAAGATCCTCTTTCCTGTTCTCACAGGGAATGGCCTGGGATAAAGAGAAGAAAAACAGGTTCCCACTCATGGAAGACCTCTCCTGTGAGAAACAAGGAAGTGGTTTCAGGCAAAAATCCCTTAAATAAGGAACCAAACAAACCGCCTCACCAACAGTTAGTGGTGGGGTTTTCTTTGCTTTTTTTTTTTAGTATTAAGTTTGAATTTATTAATATTTGAGGCATTAAAAATTTGTAACATTTTTTGTTGATATTGTAGGGTCTTAACATGAGGAGTGACAGTTGTGGGTAGCCATTGAGTATTCAGGGTCACTACTTGGGACATATCTGATCCAGTATTTTGTAGGCAATAGGCTAATGTTTTGTTTTGGGGTTTTTTTTTGGATTTAATTAAATTATTTTTTATTATGAAATACACTTTTTTAGAATTAGTTTCAGCTGTACAACACAGTGCAATAGTTATACTTTTTACCCCTCGAAGTGACAACCCCCCTCCCCCAATCCGCCACCCCACTTCCCCCAATGTCATACCATACATATCTATTACAAATCCCTTGACTCCACTCCCACACTATACTCCACGTCCCATGACTATATATATATATATATGTAATATATATGTACATATACACACACACACACATATATATATATATATTCAATTATAGTTGACATACAATATTATACAACATCAGCTTCATCAGGTGTACAGTGCAGTGATCAAGCCTCTTCCCCATCCATGATGCAAGACATGTGACCACCTGACACCCTACAAAATATTCACAACATTATCAATTACATTCCTCGAACTGTCCCCCATGTCCCCATGGCAACACTGCAGCTGCATATTTATGCTGTCTCTCCCCCTCCCTCTCTCCCTCATCCCCACCCCCCCAACCAACAGCCATCAACTGCACCCCCACATCTCTGAGACCAGTTAGTGGTGTTTTTTGCCTTGACTCTCACAAGTGCAACAATTATAGAAGCAGTGGGTCATGCTCCATTGCTGTGGAGAGACTTGGAAATAACCTACAATGAGATGTCAGTTTTGGTACTTTGACACTCAAAGTTCTCTTACCCCTGACACTGTTGTGTATGTCTTCAGTTTGGAACTTTTTTTCATCCCAAAGTTCCCCGGCTTGAAAACACCTTTTAAGTAGAGCTGATTTTATTTCCTTTTCAGAATTATTGACATAGAGTGTTAGAACTTGAAGGGGGTCTCAAAATCATCGCTCACAGCCTTCTCATTTTACAGAGAGAAACGGGCCCAGGAAGGTATAGAAACTTGTCAAAAGCCATGCCCACCACATGTCTTCTCTTGAGTCCTCCAACAATGTTTGTTAGGAGGTGCCTTAGCCCTCTCTCCCTGCAAAGCTCAATTTCCCCCCCAATTCTTCTCTCCACTGACCTCAGGTGACAGGTCTCATTTCCTAATGGAACTCTGTTTATTTTTAAGGTTTCTACTGGTTAACGTGAAATTAACTTGAATGGCCACCATGTTGAGGGAAAGCCTGACTGAAGGGTGATATTATAGGAATGATTTCAACAAGAAATTACACAGAAGTATCCAGAACACTCAAGGCTGTAGCCAACAAAGTCTAAGAATGCTTCTCTTTGAGATGAGTGGAGTCAAATGGTGGGGCTGTAGAGCTCACCCACAGTTCTTTCCTACTATCTCTAACTGACCATTACTGAGGTCAGTTCTTCTGTACCTTGGTTTTCTCAGATCTAAAATGGAGCATATATGCAGGTGATAGGCAGCACTGCCTATTTAAGGCATGCGGTTTTAACGAAAGTAGCAACTGTTTTATGCAATACTCCCTATGCTTATCAAAGTCCTGTCTCTCCGGGGTCTATCTTGAAGATGAGCAAGGTAACATTGTCACCTTGTGTTAATAACATTTGGGGATCTAGAGAAATTGAATGATTAACTGTGAAGAGTTAAACTTTTTGTGTTTTAATGACAAATGTGAAGACGGGAAATTCCACTGTGGGCAGTAGTCTTTACAAGAAGGGATAATTAGACAGAAATATCATCTTAATGGGTTTCCACACTTTGTTTTTCTTTTCTTTTCGCGTGTGTGTGTGTGTGTGTGTGTGTGTGTGTTGAGTCTAGGGAATGAAGATTTGATATAGAATTCCTAGAACGAAAGAAAGATGATCAAGGCATAGATAAACTCTCAGAATTTCCACAATTCTAAGAAAGGTGCCTTCAATAACGTGCCATGTTGGTAACATGAGGAGAATTCTCTTTTTAATCACATCCCAGAACCTAGTAATATAGAGACCAAAAATACCCATGTTGATTAATACATCCCCTGTAACCCAGCACAATTTTAAATCATGGCTTTGGAAATTTTCAGAATGAAAATCTGCCTTATGAATCAGCTAGAAATTGCATCTGTTGACTGTCTGTTTCATTTCGTTACAGACCTGTCACCCCTGAGGAATAAAAAGACTCATGTGTTTTAGGACTTGGTTCTTGGAGGAAAAAGTCTGAGGCGAGATTATTTCTTACTCTGGGGTAGCTCCTAAACCATATGTTGATCCCAGAAACTCAACCCACTTCATTCTCTTTGACCACCAAGTTCTCACTGGCCTCTGGGTTAAACTGTTTCAAAAACTTCGTGACCTATGTCTGTGCACCTAAGCTGTCTCCACCCTGAGCTAGGGCCCACTCATAGAGTTCTGCCCCTGACTGCAGTGAAAAGAACAGAAAGAGCACAAGCCCTGAGACCTGGGTTTGAGCCCCCGCTCTGTCACTGCCTGTGTGACTTCTGAGTTATGGGTTCTTCCCTATCTAGTGGGTTTGTGACATCCACATAGTAGAGTCACTATGAAGATTAATGTTTTAACTTGTTATCCAAGACTTGGATCATTCATTTGACCTCATCCCACCTTTCCAGTCTTAATGGCTGATATGCTCACATCCCCATCCAGTGCTGGGGGCCCCAGCAGACCACTTGCTATTCCCTAATGCTTTTCTGTGTCTTTGCTCATAAGATCCTCCCTATCTGGAATCTCCACTTATGGAAATTTACTAGTCCCTCAGGGCTCTTCTTGCATGGCACCTTCATGAAACTTCCTATGATAGCCCCGTGTTCCCATAGATCTCATCACATTCTGACTTGTATTATTGTTGTTATATCTATGCCTTTCTCCCTCTTACTGGTTATAAATCTCCTAAGGATCAAGACTGTCTTGTTCATTTTTGTATTTCCTACAGTGCTGGAAAGGGCCATATTGGATAGATTTTTGGAGAACTGAGTGAATGAAAGAGACCTCATAATACTTCCACTAGCCCCCACTGCCACAAAGACCATTCATATCGTCATATAAGTCACCACTTGTTAGCAATAACACAAGTTTACTTGAAATGTGTTTCCCAGAGAAAGGGTGTGATTAATTGTAAAGACTTCTCTGACCTGGCTTGGACTGACCTCCCACTTGGCAAAGACCCTGCTGAAACAGATATCACATTATAAACTTTCCTAAAATCATGCCCAGTTTAGCTCCAAAATCAAGAAGTTCCTACACCGGGGTCACTTCACAGCCCAATTTAACTTGGTCACTTTTCCAAAATAGGCAAAACGACGCCTTCTATGCACCATCATGTTTCACTTTTTAACACACATCTTTCTGTGGCCAGTTAGCATTATTATATATCTAGAAATTAAGGATATGAAATTATAGGCTTTGCTATCTTATCTGTCTTCCTGGGTAAGCAAAGGAAGAAGTCATTAGAAAATTCACACTCAATTAGGAAGGGTGGTTTGAGGTAGAAGTTGGTGGTTTCTTATTTCTTTAAAAAAAAATCTGTGAAAAAACCCATTTGAAAGGATGAATGAAATTCAAAATTTGCATATATATATAAATATCACATACACATACATATAGTACATACATATATACACATAAGAACATAAGAAAAGGTAGTGTTCTGAAAGTGAGCATGCTTATATTTCCAAAATTTCTATAAAGTTGCACATATAAGAAGCTTCCTAGTTATTATTTGCTGAGGCAGTATAAAACAAAGTATACATTTTTGAAGCTAAACTCTTCTGAGATCTTAAATTATCCCAACGTTTCATATATGAGTTATTGGCAACTCAGGCTCATGTACCTGGTCTTAGAGTGGAAAACTAAACCCACTAGAAAACAAAAGGAAATTTCTTGAAGAATCTCTTCGTTAGTATTCTGTTAACATTCAAATGTCAGGCCACTCTATTCTTCCCAGAATAAACTGTCAAAGACTTTGAGTGACAGGAGAGCCCACCATTCTAAGCTCTCTGTATAGATCGGGCATAGTTGAGACATAAAATGGGACCCTGGTGGGTCATGGACAAGAGGTAGAACCCAGGATTCAACCTCCATCTCTGCACCTTCTACTTAGGTGCCCTCTGTGATTCTGTGGCTGGGGAGAGGTGACATCTGCTAGCTTTCCCAAGGTTTTGAGGGCACCTGGGACCCCTTACCTGTCATGCAGTCAGTTACCAAGAAGAGTGTGAAGAATCTCCACATCAGTAAGCTTGGCTCCATCTTCCTGGCTCCTGGGATAGGCTGCCTACTTAGGGGCAGTGAAGAGAAGGTCTTTTCTTCAGAGTGCTGGGTTTTCTGTCAGCCTCTTGTTAGCATTGTGCTGGGAGGATGGGGGTGAAAGGATCAATCCATTCGGGGTGTTGTTCCCGCTGGTCCCTGTCTCTCAACTTGCTTTCTGAAAACGTTGGGCTGATTTCTTCAGCCAGGAAATTGTGCCTAGCAGTCTCTTCTTTAGTCTCAAATATAGGAAGTGGTTTTAACCAAGTTCAATTGCTGAGAGGTGTGGGCTGGAGCGATTGATTGGGCTTCATTCTTTCTTCAGCTTCGACCAGAACAGGAAAGGGAGATTCCCCTGCAGTTGAAGGAAGGTGAGCAAGCACTTCTTGGCAGTGGTCTTATCTAGCATTCAATAAACTGCTGTCAGAGTGAAACTGAGATCCTCCCCCAGAGTTGCAGCTCCCTGAGGAGTCAGCAGCAGCCACACAAGGGGTGGGGGGGTGGGGGGAGGGTACAACCATGCCGAGAGTGTGGAAGAGCAGCCTCAGCCATACACGGCAATTTCCTAAAGCTGTCTGACCGGCAAGCCTTTAAAAAGTCTACTGAGTGTCAAGATGAGGTCTCCAATATTCAGATATTTGAAGAGGACAGCAGACTGATCCATACTCAGAATTTGTGAATAATCTCCCAAGATTGACAATTGGTACTAGCCATGGTCATTTCACCAGGATGACCTGGGTAGCTGAATGTGAGTTGTCACTTTATATGTTGCCTCCAGATTTGCTTTTCATTTAAAATATCATACTAAAAATGGGCTTTGGTTTTAAACTTTGGGCTTTTTGTTTTGCAGAATTACATTTTGTTTCCTTGTTTAATGACCAGAAAGCTATTTTCTGATGTTCACGAAATGGTTGGTTGTTTCACTATTTAGAAACTCATGCAGTTCATGGTTCCAATTGTATTCTCTCGACCCCTGACCTCCTCTCAGAAAGACAACTGACTCTGAAAAGACCCTTGAAATTCTACAAATGAACTAAGAGTGGTTTCCATGCCAAGTACCAGAGTTTGCAGAGAAAAATAGTTATCTGATCTCTTTCTCAGAGTGGGATATTTATCCAAATGTGACAAGATTATCTTTTAAGATTCCAGAGCAAGCTTAACCTCATTGCTAGAAGCATTTTCAGCTGTGCAGCAATTCCTGTTGTCACCAGGGTCTGGTCCAGTAGATAAGCTGGAGAGTTTGCTAGCTATGGTTATCATCATATAGTTATGAAACAAACTTACAGAAAAATTGGAAGTATAATACAAATACCTTTCCCCCAAAACCATGTAAGAGTAGTTGCCAACATGAGGTTTCTTATTTCCTATGAACAAGGACATTCTCCAACATCACTACCATCGTCAAAATCTGGAAATAACATTGGTGCATCCCCACTGTTCAGACCTCAGACCCAAATTTCTCTAGTTGTCTCATCGATGTCCTTCACAGCAAAGGGTTCAGGACCACTTGTTGCATCTATTAGAGTTGTCATGTGTCTTTCACACGTCCTTTGTCTTTTCTCGATTTCATAACCTGACACTTTGGAGGACTACAGGCAAGTTGTTTTGTAAATTATCCCTCAGTTTGGATTTCTTTATTGTTTCCTCATGACTAGATTCAGGTTTTGCATCTTTGGCAGGAGTAACACAGAAGTGGTGCTGTGTTCTTGCCATCGTGCCCTTTTATCCCATGAGGAATGATGTTCACTTCAATCACTTGCTAAAAGTGGTGTGTCTTCCAGGTGCCCCTACTTCAATGTCACTGTTTTCCTCGTTCTAATAAATGTTTTGTGGAATGATGTTAATACCCCATTACACATCAAACTTTCAATTTACTCATTTACTTGCATCTATATGGACTCATGATTTTCTCTTTTATTCAATGAGTTCTAATCTATTATTGTCATTTACTTCAGTGCCCAGATTGTCTCCTGTTTGTCCATTGGGAATCCATTTGAGCTGGCTTCTGAATCTTTTTGACATGTCTTCATCATTCTTCGAGTACCTCCTTGCTTTGGGGGCATAAAAGTATTTTCCTGGCTCATGTTGTACTTTCTCAGTCTAATCCCTGGAATCAGCCATATAGCCCAAAAGTTCCAATACCTTTAGAGGAAAATAGTCTTAGAATCCACAATGTGCTCACCGCTGTTGGGCTGGCACTATTCCCAGGTTCTCCTAGTGGACAGAGCTAGGGAATAAATGCACGTGTGTGCATACACATGCACTCTCCCATTTGTATCTATTTATTTCTATATCCATCTACACATATTGAAAACCACAAGTTCACACTGATCCATCCCAACATCCCAACTCCAACCTAAGACCCCAGGGTAAAGTCTCGTCTTGTCCTTCCTTTCCTGTGTTTGTAACTCCCTTCCCTGACTGTGGGAGATTTGGTTTCCATTATCCCTAGCCTATTTACTTTTTGATCAATGCCCCTGTATGCTCTCAGTCTCTCATCTCTCCCTCCACCCCCTCCCCACAGGACACCCTCTTCTCCCGGCTCAGGCTGTGAATCCCTATTCTGAGCCAACCCCCAGACTCTGAGGAAATGGCCTCCTCACCGCGGTCAGGCTCTGACTCCCCTCGCCAGGGCAGCCCCCACGCCCCCATGGATGTCCTGACCCTGCGTGGGTGCTGCAAGCTCATGCTGGGCCATTCCGCTTGGGGATAACCCCCCTCCACTTGCTTGGTTCTGACACCCCTTGCTACCAGCTCCACACGTGAACTCCCTCCCTGCTCCATTTGGGCTTAGATAGCCCTTGGGTATCTGCCTGTCCTGTGGGCCTCATTTTACCCTAATCAAATTCTGACTTCCCCCATGGGGCTCCTCCTTGTGGGGACACCTGTTCCATTCTGTTTGGACACTGACACCTCGTTCTAGACTGCCTCCCTATGGAGACACCCTTCTCACCCCCCACCTTGGGCTGTGCCCCCCGCTACTATGGGCTACTGTGTCACCTTTCACCAGACACCATTCCCTAGCTTTGCTCCACATGAAAGCTTTAGGACTGAATTGTTCAGAAAAGGAAGGAAAAGAGGAAAGCTCATGGCCACTATTCAAGAGTAAGGCAGCAAAAGGAAAATGAGGGTAAAATGTGAAATCCAGACAACCTTAGAGAATGAGCACATGTATAATAAAGAAGCAAATGAAGTCATAATGACCTCCAAACTGTTAATGTGCTTCATATTTTTTCAAACTCTAGAACATCTTAGGAATTAATATTTCTTGTTGGAAAGTAATAATTACCTAAAGTTCATTAATATCTTCAGTTTTATATCAGTTTCTTTTTCTTCTATGAAGTTAAACGAAAATTAAATTTAGTGATATTTTTTACCAATTTTTTGAGCATCAAAGAAATATTAACCAGGACTCATAAGGTATACTTATGGGTTAAAGTAGACAGCAAAAATTAATCTCACAGATTAATTTGTTGTGATATAATCAAAATTTGAATAATGATTTTTTTTTTGCTTTAGAATAGAACTTTCCCCAACCCCTCCTTATAATAATTGGAAGAGTCAAATCCATTTTATTTTATTAGTAACAAAGTAACAAAATATTAGCAAAATAGAGTAAATATTTTATTTTACAGTATTTATTATTAGAAACAATATACAAGTCATTAAAATGAAAATGGTGATTTGGTTTTTTTTTAATCAAACAACTATAATTTTTATGAGTAGCGTTGCTAAGTTAGAGCCCCGCATCCGAGGCCACATTTGACAATCCTTCCATCCTATCCTGTACCGGTATTTTGGGGGAAAGGGAGGAACATAGAAATTGCACACTGGTCCCAAAAATTTCCAGTTGATTTACTGTGGGAAGCTCACTCCTCCACTTCCAAGAAATTTCAGGTTGGATTTTTTTCATTTTTACTTTGAATGTTAGCACGTGTTGCTTGTTTACATCCAACCCAGTTGAAGCACCATGTAAAACTCTTTTAGTCACACAGCGAAGTCAACATGATTGTGTGGTAAAAATGTTGGGTAGTCATTAAACTGAATAATATCATAAACACATGATGAAATTGAAACTCAAGTTATGTGACAGAGACTAGAGACCAATAAACCAACAACCACATATGATGGTATGATCAACACCGCCAGTAGTCCACCAAAGTCATTCTTCCCTTCTTCTTGGGCAAAGGAACAGAATACATTCCCCAGCTTCCCATAGCTAATTGTGTCTCTGTGATGAAGGTCTTACCAAGAAGTGTTAACGGAAATGATGGTTAGCACTTCTGCCTCATTTGTTTAACTGGAAACCCTGGCATTTCTTGTTTCCTGCTGGCTGGAATGCTGTGACTACGGAAATCTTGGAAGCCTGGTGTTTAAAATGGCAGCAATGTGCCCACCTGGGTTCCTGAATTTCTGGAGCACAGCTACCTATGACCTGAAACATGTACCTCAAATTGCTGTGTAAGAAAGCAGTAAACTTTTTTGCATGTTAAGCCACATTATTGTTTGTCTTTTGTTACAGCAGTTTAGCTTACCCCAACTAATATTAGTCTCCATGGACAGATCAAACATCATGTGTTCCTGTATCAGTGATCTCCCATGGGGCAAAAGGTTTGCTCAGGGATGGCTCAACAACTCTCAAATCACGTAAGAATAACCATAATAATATAGTAGCTTCAGTCCGATGCATCATAAATGGAAAATAAACCCATCATTTTTTGAGCTTGTAATCAAAAAGTTTTACCTTATCTTTACAAAATATGGGGTCTCTGCCATTTTGCTTTAATCAATAAATGTAGCTAAATGATTCAATGGCTTGACATGTTGTGATTCAAGGTTTATTCCAAATACTATTTTTAAGCTTCACATAAAAATTATGTTGCTATTTGAGCCAAGATATTGTGTGGCATTCCAGGGGCTAAGCAACACCTAGTGTCACAGGTAAAGCAGCAGAACAAATAACTTTAATATTTAATTGATTATAATTATAAAATATTTATATTAATGAAAAAAATTTAAATACCATATCACAAAGCCCCCACTCCCAATTTTTCTGACAAAAATAGAGGACCAATTCTTGCTAAATGGACTAATATGAAACACTTAGTTGACTTGAACAGTTTTCACTGAGCTGAACTTTCAGTCTCAGTTCTCAATTTTTACTAACCTCGAGCTCTCTAGTTGGTATTTCACTGCACTATGCAGAGACAAGATGGAGAGAGAGGAGAAGAAAGTAGATCTGTTTTGTCTTGAACTGTATAAAATCTCATACTGGTGTGTATACACACACACACACACACACACACACACACACGATACCGGGGGTGCCAAAAAATGTATACAAGTGGACACTTTGGTCAGCATTGCTCAAGCAGTAGTTCG